GTTATGTTCTTTCCATATAACAGTTATATTATGGCTGACATTTTTAAAAGGAAATCTGATTTGTGCTCTTACTTTATAGCCGGAAATATGTACTTGAATAACACAACACAAAATAAGAACCACTAGGAAGCTTGTCAGTGAGAAAAGTTAACCAGAGAAATTCCAGGAGCAGTCTGCAGTACAAACATAGAGATAGAATTGTTTATAGATACTATTTTAGAAACAATAGTAAACTCAGAAGAACAAGATAGTAGAGTCTTATTTTCGGCAATGCTGTCAGATCCGTCATCCAATTTATGAGCTCACTGCCGTCAAATGAAAGGTTACTGAGTTCGGTCACTACTCTCAGCTGATTTTATGGAAACAGCTACACACGAAGGATGATTTGAAGAGCCTATATAGCTTTCTTGAGAAGGTTCCAATGAGGAACAGAATAGTATAATACAGACCACATATATTCTCACATAGTGATTACAGGACGAAAAAAGGTTTAGACTTCACTGAAAGGTATGTCTTTCACCTTCAACCTACTTTACAATACCACGCAATTTCGTTTTACAGCCATGGGAACTGAATGTTAAGATTATAATAGTTTTAACCGTCTGATGCTTATCCCATGACTTGTATGCATGAGTTCTGATTGCATTAATCATACGGGTTTTAATATAACTAAAATACATATTGGCTGAAACTGATTCCCGAGCCCATTTATCACTTTAAACGCAAATAAAAACTGTAAGTGATCAACCACCTATTTCACTTACATTGTTCACATGTGGTGATAAAGTTTACAATCCGTTATAACGTCTTTAGGATTCGAATAGAATAGTGTGGTTGTTATTTTGTGAACGACCATCGTCTGTGAAGACTATCGAGTTATTAACTCAGTCCAGAATTTCTGCATCTGAATCATCGAATCCTACGCCTGCTATATCAGCCGCTACAGTCGACGGAATTGCAACCAGTATCACAGAATTTTATTGTGATCCTGATGCTAATGTGACTTCCGATACTTGGTCCCGAAGGTATGAAGACCACTTCAGAGTTCATTTTGCTGGTCAAGATGATTCACGGAAAGTTCGTCTCCTTCGAAAACTTGGTCCATCCAGATTAGATCAGTATTGCAGTATAATACTGCCACAGAACCCAAGAGACCGCTCCTTCGATGCCACAATACAGACCCTAATGACAACATTTTGGTGATCATTCGTCTCTTTTCGGTGCCAGATATCGTTGTTTTAAACCGGTCATGAACGAGAACGAGGATTTTCTCACGAATGCAAAAACTCCAAGCTGAAGTCCTTCACCGATGACCAATTCAAATCGTTGGTACTCATATGCAGCCTTCAATCGCCCAAGTTCACGGACATTAGAATTCGGTTGCAGTGAATAAATTTTCAGTCTCATCGTCTTCTTCTGGTGTCAGCTGAATATCGAGTTGAGAAGGCATTTTTCTATCATTAATCGTATTCGTCTCGGAGCATTGCATCGTTATATATATATATATATATATATATATATATATATATATATATATATATATATATATATATATATATATATATATATATATATATAGCGTAGGATCGTAACAGTCTGCTCTTTGCCCATTGTTGAAGAGTCTCAAATCAGGACGACTTAGCTGCTCAGTCCTGCTTGGTTTTAAGCAGTTGCTTAGCTAATGCTGATCCGTAATAGAAACTGCAATGATATGGATTATCATACCTAGAGAAAGAAGGCAGGGTCAACCTGTTTACTATTACGATGGTGAGATACACTGGTGAAGAGTCTCAAATCAGGACGACTTAGCTGCTCAGTCCTGCTTGGTTTTAAGCAGTTGCTTAGCTAATGCTGATCCGTAATAGAAACTGCAATGATATGGATTATCATACCTAGAGAAAGAAGGCAGGGTCAACCTGTTTACTATTACGATGGTGAGATACACTGGTGAAAAGACAATCCTGTATGATTTCTAAAATCAAGTTTCATCTGCTTCGTTGTTCATTAATTTCACACATTCTACCACTAGGACAACTACTGCTAGTCATTTCTTAGGCCTTGGTAACATTTCTGTTACTATGTTGTGACATTCACATGGTCTTCATTCCACTGATAACAAACATTCTCACAACACCAATCCTTACTCGAGAATATACACGTGCAAATGTATGAACTGCCATCTTAAAATGATCTATCCATCTAGTTGTATTAAAAACGGCATCAACACTGAATCGGTAATCGTTCCGCTCGATTTTGTTCACCAATACACTGGTTGTATTGTCAACCATTTTATGTCTCTTTGAAACTACTGTAGGTTAACAACTAATTTCGGTTAGAAAAATCAGCAAGCATAGGATACTGGTTTATTGTGCTCGAGATTTCATGAGAATGAGACTGTACAAGCCTCTAAACAAATAACTGTTCATCATAGCCTCGTCATACCTACCTCTAGTGAGCTCCTTCCAGATAAAAACTGCTCCGTAGAAAGTCAGAATATAATCAGTGCTACTGTAGACATGTAAACCACTTAGAAACTCTAATCGAGTCCCTCTTAAGGCTGCAAAAGTCAGCTGGATAAAATCCAATTAATACCAAAGTCATGATAACTGTTTCGCTTACTACTATGCAGTCAATTCGATTATTAACCCATTTTATAAGAAGTTAGGTGAATAGCTTAGAGTCCAGGCAGTAACTTCAATGGCCACCTTGGAAACCAATTTAGTTTCTGGAATTAGGTTAGGTAGTTTTTTTCACAAAATGAAGGAAGTGAATAGGTTATTTCAGTAGTCGCTAGGTTAGCCTTTACAAGGACTCATGTTGATTGACGATTTCACCATTGGGAGACGTAAGTTCTAGTGACCGATGTTATATGAATGTCTTTCAAGTTGCGCATATGCTTTGTTGAAGACTGCTGACAAACATAAGATTTAGGTCTCAGCTCCTACGAGAGATTTTAAAGGCCGCCCTAGCAACTGTTCAGATAACCAACTTCGTTTCTCCATTTGATGAAAAACTATTCTCCCAGGTGGAATATTTAAATCTAATTGGTTATTCCGGGGGTTGCTAGGATGGCCTTTAAAGTCACTCAGCTCCCACCGATTTCTCCTAACACCATATGAAGTGCCCCGGAATGGAGAATCTTCTAACTCAGTGACCAGACTGTCAACATAATCGATAGAATTCAGCGAGCACCTAGAAGTTAACATAGCATTGGTGTTACTCTCCAGTTACTGGTCAGCGTATTTAATCCATTCTTACGGGTTATGATTGCGGTCAGCGACCGAATAACTCTACAGCAAAATCTTTAAATTCGGGACTAGTTTACGTAGGTTAAGATCGGATAGGACATAATTTCCAGTGGGGTTGTTAATGTACCTTACTAGGAAGCGGTAAAAATTGTGAAACTCCGATTCAGAGCTTCTGATTCCATACACGTAGCATTTCCAAAAGCTTTCTGCATCTGTGAAACTGACAGTCATAAAATAGTATTCATTTATTCACAAGTAATATCTGAGCAGATAGTTATCGAAAACAATTGACGGCTCGAAAAGTATTGTTTTCAATGTTCAATATGAACCTTTCAGTTATTATTCAATGATGATATCACTAATTGTGAAAGTCCCCACCATGTTTACATTTGTTTGAACTAAATTCAATTAGTTAGCATATTTATATTTTTATCCTTTAGCGAAAAACTTAGCCAAAACAGTACCCATCTAAATGTCATTTCTGATCAACCAACAGTTCCTTCAGGTTAGCGCGTGATTAAAAACTAATCAATTAACCAAAAACAAATTTGCATACCAACCAAAATCTCCGTTCCAACCTTGTATGAGAAATATTATATGAGCTCGCATTTGATTGATTTGAAAACCTATCTTTCCGTCATTTAATAAAAGTCAAAGAAATTCAAGTATTTATTGAGAACAGATAAAAGAAATTTGGTTTCAGGTGGATAATGTTGTATCAGGTGAATCATTGAAAAATGAATACAATGAGCAGTAGGCTATAAAAAATGGAGAACAATTCAAAAGTTAGAAAAACCCACTTATTACTGGTTCATAATTGAAAGTATCTCATGCGCCTGACAATACTTTTTGTAGAGGTTTGCTACTACATATCTCAACCAAGAATAGCTGCAGAAGTAAATTTCAGTATACGCATTGTATATCTTACGACTCCTGATTTAAAATTTACACAGTACAGTGCATAAACATACAACTTCACAGTTGCTTTATGATCAACGGCGAACTAATCAACTTTTGGAAATTTACAATAATACAGAAAAACAAATACAGTATTCATGCCACACAGCTCTAGTTGGGAAATGTATAATAATTTATCACATGTTTAGTAAGCATACAACAAGAGCAAAGTAGAAATGCACCATGAAAGTACTGCTTTAAGGCTTACTGAATGATCCTTTGAACTGAAATTACAGTAATCAGTGGCACAATAACAGCGCTTTTGTGTAGAGGAACTTCCATAAGTCTGAAAACATACATCGGCGAATGACGGTTCAAATTTCCGGAGACATAATCTTGAAACTGTTTTTATTTCATGGTACTGTTGACCCCATCTTGGTTTTCTAAAGTCGATTCTTTGGACTTCTTCAATTTTGATGCATGCCTTGCAACCATCTAGTTTCTGCCACGGTCCGTTTGACTGATCACATGGCCAAAGAGACATTTGTCGTTCCCTGTCTACAATCTCACACTCGTAGCAGCTGAGATTATTTGCTGTTAGATAACCAAGCAGACAAAAATGTGCCAAAAGTAATCCGAAAAGCATATAAAAGCATGTCATTTGCAATGCTTAACGATTGCGATTAAAGGCGGAAATGTGTACGTTATCCCAACAAGCCAATGAGAATGAAATCAACGTCCACCTACAAGTTGGTGAAATTAACAAATCAGAACACAATAAATGTTTTATTTCAAGGTCAAGGTCAAACAAAGACAGTCACACAGCTAATCCAAAATCATGAGTAAACTCACACAATGACTGTGAGTTACGGCAGTATCATAGCAACCGTTAAATACGGGTCATTTTTTCGCCTGCTATTCCGTTGGCGTGGCAGTCTTTATAAGTTAGTATGGCCAGGATTATTGGTTTATTGCTTCTTTTACGCTGCTGTAGCTGTCGCATACCACAGTATCCCAGACAAACCGGAATATCGAAGTGCTAAGTTGCTTTTTGTTAGAGTATGCTACTACGCCGGACGTGTAACAGATGCTGTTCCTCTATCTTTCGTCCTTGCATTTTATGTGAATTTGGTTGTTGGTCGATGGTGGCAGCAGTTTCTTTGTTTGCCAACTCCAGATGCCATATGCCTACTTTTGTCAGCATATATAGGCGAAAACTCAGAGTCAAACGACAGTAAACTTGCAGTAAGTGACGATGAAAGATCACTGGTGTACAGAAGAACTATTACGCGTTATGTTAATTTGGCTTCTGCCTTGTGCTTTTGCTCAATATCCGTCTGTATGAAGCAACGATTTCCAACACTTGATAGCTTGGTTATGTGTGGTTTAATGACCGAACAAGAAATGGAGATTTATTCAAGATTAGATGACTCAACAAACAGCTTTTTCGTCCCATTAGTGTGGGCCATATCTCTTATTACTAAGGCCCGAGAAGAAAAGATGATACGTGAAGACCGGCATGTGGATGCAATTGTTAATCAAGTGGTAAATTTCTGGGAAAAATTAAACAAACTATGCTTGTATGATTGGGTGAATGTACCTTTGGTTTACAACCAGGTAAGTGAAGTTTCCTAATTTTATCTACTTCTCTGTATTATACTCCCATATTCTTCATTGTTTACATTTGTTATATTGTATTCATTCTCATGATGGCGAAGCAAGAGTACTAGCTGGTGTTTAGAACGTTGGTACTGAAATTGATATAGTTTATGCTGATTGCCCAGACGTCTAACTACAGATAGTGATAAACCTGTAACCTTAAACAGTAGTACCTTTGTTTCTAGTTATCTGGAGGATTTGAGTATAAAGAAATCAACTTGAAACCAGAGGAGTACTCTTAAGTAAGAGCCTATATTATTCAATATTTTAATAAATTTAGAGTGCCCAAGTGGCGTATTCATATCCAATTTGGTTATTAACAAGATATTTCCCTGGAAACTTGTAGTGCTTAAAATGTTTTTTTTCGCTTCTTGAACAAATACTGGATCCATACCTGTCTACACTAATACTTGGATTGTCTAATTTAGTCAAATCTCCTGAAGCGGAAGACGTGCACTGAAAGGTGGTGGTTTGTAGGGCATGCGGATGGATTATCTTTTGTAGAGTATAGAGAGTGAAGTAAGCTAATAATTACATCACCTACCTCAGAAGTTACGTTACTTTTAGTGTCTTAATGGTCGAAATAACGAGAATTATAGATTCTACTGGCGTATTTCAACTAACACCGTACAGGGCTAAAGGAGGCCGAATCTGTTGTGACAACGTGCTACGTTGGTTTGCAAGGTGACCACTAAACATCGGAGATTTAACAAATCGACTTTTTTGTAAATGTTACTCCTGCGGAATTGCAAATATGTGAAATCAATAGATAGTGCAAAAGTTAGGCTTAAAGTATTGGGTCAAGAAGATATTTCGGTTTATTTTCTTATGAAGCTTTAGTGACATGCTTTGACCATGTAACGTGAATCCCGAGTCATCGTTCACCTAGATGTTATAAAGAAGTCAAATACGTCTCAAACAAGATACAAAGTCTCCGACTGTTCTCCTGGGCTGTTTAGGTGCAGATTTCCTGGTCAGGTTATGCAAGCAACTGAAATCTGTCGTTAATGACGTCAGTGACGTAAATGCATGCTCACTTTATCGGAAAGCATTGCTTGAGTGCGTTCCTATTTAACTTAGCTTTCCTCTACCATAGAAACCCCGGATGCCCGAAATATGAGTTGTAGAGACCCATTTCACTCGTCAGAAGCGATCAGATAGCAACTAAACTTGGGATCCATCTGGAGAACATAGGATGTTTCTCTAATTCTGCGTGCCAGAGTTTTAGCTAGTGAGGTTCGTTGTGTAGTTTGACACACGTTACATGTATTAAATACTCTAACGTATTTTGGGTGGCGATTTCATAAGACTAAATAAGGTGCTTTCTGAACTCGAGTCGTTTGTATGGGTTGTGTAGTCGTATGAAGTAGAAAAAGCATGGAGTTCACAGAAAGATTAACAGTTTTAGTTTGTTAGATATCATCCGCAATAAAACAATATTATTCGCTGGAGTTAACCCAATCGGTAGCTGCTATTTGAAAGTAGTGGTTGCGTTTGCATATTGCAATGACAGCAAGCTGTGTTGTTGGGACCGTTCGTTCTTTCAGGCCACCCTATCAGAAAGGTCTGTTGGATAGTGGTAATACAATACCAGGTGTCGTTATAGTGTAAATTGCTACGTTATGGTGGGGGTTCGAGGACGAAGTAATGCTAGTTAGATATAGTGTCTGACAGCAGTAGAGCGTTTTCCATAGGATGATCCACACTCCACGCTGGTGCTGCTGTCTCTATGGTAAGATGGGGAAGTCAAAAAAGTCCTCAAAAACACTTCTATATGCCGTATGGTATTCTGCCACCAGTTTTTTCCAGCTGAATTTTAATCGATCTAAGTTAAATCGCAAACTTTCAGAAAGACCATTTATGACTATTATTATTATTTATTATTAGTCCCTTGGGTTCCTAGTGGAACATAGGGCTTCAGTAGCACGTCTCCAGTGTCCTCTGTTCTCTGAGATCTTTTGAACCTGGTCCCACGACAGCCCAGAAGCTCTCATTTTCTCCTCGCACGACCTCCTCCATGTCACCCTCGGACGTCCAACTCGTCGCTTCCCATGGGGATTCCACTCAAGGGCCTGACGCGTGATGTCCTCAGTCGGCCTTCTCAGTGCATGGCCAATCCATCTCCACTTCCTCCTGCATATTTGTTGCGTGATAGGTTCTTGGTTGGTTCGTTCCCAGAGTTCCTTGTTGCTTATTTTTTCTGGCAATCCATCTGATCTTCAGCAGCGAGCGTAAGCAGTTGTTGATGAATGTCTGTAGTTTATTGGAAATCCCTCTCGTAACGCGCCAAGTCTCTGAGCCATACAAGAGCACTGACTTGACGTTGGTGTTGAAAATCCGTATCTTGTTCCACATGCTGAGTGCAGAAGATCTCCACACTGGTTTCAGGCTAATGAAGGCCTGTCTTGCTTTTCCGATTCTGACTTTGACGTCCTCGTCCGTCCCGCCTGTAGTTGAAACAGTGCTTCCTAGATAAGTGAAGGAGGTTACTTCCTTCAAGTTTCTCCCGTTGACGGTGATTGGAGTTTGTTGTTGTTGTTGTTGATGGTGGTGGTGCGGTATCTTCATCACCTCTGTCTTCTCTATATTCACCTGAAGTCCTGTCTTCGCTGCCTCTTCTATCAACTTGTTAGTTTTTGCCTGTAGATCTTCAAGTTTATGTGACATTAGGCATAAGTCATCGGCGAAATCCAAGTCTTCTAGGTTCTTTTCCGTCGTCCAGTGTATCCCCCTCTTCTCGCTGCCTACTGTTTGCTGCATGATCCAGTCCACCACAATCAGAAATATCATGGGTGATAGTAGGCAACCTTGTTTCACTCCTGTCTTCACTTCAAAGGCATCACTGAGCTTCCCATTGTGAACTACTTGGCATGTGGCGTCTTCATATAGTTGTTGGATGAGGCGGATAAATGTTTGTGGTATTTTTTTGTATTGAAGCGGTTTCCAAATTACCTCTCGGTCGACGCTGTCAAAGGCCTTCTCAAAGTCGATGAAGTTGAGGTGGAGAGGTGATTGCCACTCTATGCTCTGTTCTATGATGATGCGAAGCGTTGCAATTTAGTCTGCACATGATTTGTACTTCCTGAAGCCTGCTTGTTCCGGTCGTAGTTTTGAATCCAGTGCATCCTTTAGTCTCTCCAGGATGATGCGGCTTAATATTTTACTTGGGGTGGACAGGAGAGTGATTCCGCACCAGTTCTTGCAAGCACTGAGGTCTCCCTTCTTCGGCAGTTTGACAAGGTAACCCTTCTTCCAATCGCCAGGTACCTTCTCTTCCTTCCACACCTTCTGCAATAGTGGTGTGAGCATGTCCGCTGTTGTCTCTGCGTCTGTTCTCAGTGCTTCTGGCGGTATTCCATCTGGTCCTGCTGCTTTCCCACATTTCAGTAGCTTTATGGCGTTCAGGACTTCCATTTTCGTTGGAGGATTTATGTTCATTTGTAATTCAGCGGCTGTAGGTGGTATTTCTGGACGAAGTGCAGGTAGTGGTGGTGGTCGATTCAAGAGCTTCTTGAAGTGGTCAGCCCATTGTTTCCTTTGTTTGTCTTCTTTCTTAATTAAATTTCCTTCTTCATCTTTTATTGGTTTCATCTGTGTTGATCTCTTCCCGCCGCCGCTCCGCGCCGCCGTGATATTCGTTTGTCTATTAAGGGTCGCGTGTACTGCACAGCAGTCCGCTCTGTTCTACTGTATGGCTGTGAAACATGGCCATTGAAAGTGGAAGACATGAGAAGGTTACAGGTATTTGACCACCGTTGCCTTCGTAGTATAGGACGTATTCCGTGGTGTCACCATGTGAGTAATGCAGAAGTTAGGTGTAGAGTTTTAGGAGAAGAGGTAAGTCAGTCGACGAGGTTGTGAACCTTCATCGACTGAGATGGTTGGGACACGTACTACGTATGCCTAGTCACCGATTGCCTCGTCACACAATGTTGGCTGAGGTGGGTTCAGGCTGGAAAAAGGCCCGAGGTGGCCAGACTAAAACATGGCACCAATGTATGAAGTCTCTGGCTGTTGGTTTAAGCCATGTAGGACGATGCAGACTAGGTGGTTGGGGTCCACGGGACAAGAGGAACCAGTGGTTGGAGACCCTAGGTGATATGGCTCAGAACCGAAGTCAGTGGCGCAGATGTATACACACATTATCCTCATCTTAACAACGCTATACCGAATCTCACTATTTTGTCACTCCTCTTTCCTTTCTTCTCGTACTTTATATTTCTTTTGACTGCATTCACTTATCTTCATCCTTCACCTCACTACCTTTTTACTTGATGTGCTGATATGAGGTGTGGCAACTCGGACCGTTACGCAGTAATGCCTGGTCCTATGTTGATAATGATGATGATGATCTCTTCCCTGATAGCAACCTGGTTATTTGATACAATGTTGTCAGGTCTCTCTTGCCTGCAGCCTGTTCTGCTTCACTTGCCAGTGTTTCGTAGAAGTGTCTTTTGTCTTTCCGTGCACTCTTCTTCACTTCTTTGTCCAGTGTTTTATACATTGTGCTCAGTTCCTCTTGTCGTTGAGCATCCTTGCACTGGTTTATCTTCTGCTTCACCATCCTTCTCTCCTCTATCAGCTTCCAGGTATCCGTCGAGATCCATTCCTTGTCTTCTTTCTTCCTCCTTCCTAATACTGTTGTGCAGGTTTCTTTCCACATAGCTTTCAAAGACTTCCAGTGTTCTTCCACACAGGTTTCTTCAGGGATGTTGCTCGATGTCTCCCATTTTGTCTTGATGGCTGCTTTGAAGATCTCCTTTGTAGTTTCATCCTTCAGTTTCCGAGTGTTGTACTTGAACTGAGGTCTATCACCAGCTTCCTTGAAGGCTTTTAACTTGATTTGGAAGGTTCCTTGCACTAGACAGTGAGTGGTGTGAACCTACATCTGCTCCTCTTCTTGACCTTGTGTTAAGTAGACTGCGTCTCCATTTTCTTGAGATTGAGATAAAGTCGAT